CTCTAGACAGTTTCAAAACATTTTCATGTACTTTGGAATTTGTCTATCAACCTTGTGCCTACTTCTGGTTCATAGTTGGAAAAAAAAAAAAGAGCCTTAGAAAGATTCTGCAATTTTGCTAAATAATACTACTATTATCAAGTGTCACCATGTGCCAGGTACTATGGCAATCTTAGTTATTGAAATTCTCACAACAGCCCTACAATTAGAATGGAGTTATGTCACATGTGGGTTTAACAAATTTGGGGGAAGAATAAATATTGTCTTTCTCCTTTAGGACCTGACTTTAAAGATGAGACTTGACTGAAGATATTATTTCCATTGTACAGATGCAAAAACTAAGGTTCAGACAGCCTAATCACTTGTTTAAGTCACATACTAGTTAGAAGCTGAGCTGGGATTCAAACCCAAGTCTCCTCGACTATGTACACCCACACGCTTGCAGCCCCAGGACAGAAATCACAGTGATCAGACCCAAGTCCGATGACTCCTCACTAAGTCACATGAAAAAAACAATGAAACCAGGGCCTCCCCAGTGGCCTAGTGGGTTGAGCGCAGCACTGTGAAGCCACAGCCTCTGCAGCACCAGTTCAATTCCCAGCCGGCTGGGAAGAAACCCACATGGCAAGGCAGGAGAGGTCTGCTGCTCCCTCAGCAGTATTTTCATCCATCTGCCTGTTCTACTCCCCACTCTGTCTCTGGTGAATTCTCTCACCCTCTTGCGCCTCTGGCCTGTACCCCAGTTGTTGTATAAATAAATAAATCTTAAAAAAAGAAAAGAAATTATTAAAAAAAAACAACAATGAAACCAGGCAGTGTAGGGAAGAGGATGAATTGGCTTGACGTCAAGGTGGTCAGGCAATCAAAATGATAAATATGCGACCCTTTTGACCCACCAATTCCACTAGCAGGAACATATCCTACAGTTGCATCTGCACATGTGAGGAATGCCACATGCTCCAGGCTCTTCATTGCAGTTTTGTTCACTATGGCCCAAAAAGTCAAACTTGAGTATCTGACAGTAGGGTACATGCATTACAGCCACTCACATTGTGGAAGATTATGATGCAGGAAAAAGATGTGAATATCTGATACAGAAAAAGCTGTAAGTTATGTGAAAAAAGAAACAGGCAGACAGTAGGATTGTGTGTGTGTGTGTGTGTGTGTTTTACAAATGGAGCAGCTCTCTGACCTGCCTGTGACTATACAAGGTGGCTTTTTCTTTCTCCTTCTCCTAATAACCCTCTCCTTTTAAAATGTCAAAAAAAAGGGGGTATACAAATGGATATATGTATATATCAATATATGTATATATCTATACATATCTATATCTATATCTATATATATACATGCTTAGAGATGGCATGAAAATTTTCTGGAAAAAATATAAGAGATCACTAACAGTGTTTACCTCTGAAAGCTTATGGGCTAGGAGGGGACCCTTATTTTTTCACTCTGCTAGTGTATTCTTTTGCACTTTTGAAGTACTTTTTATTTTGAACATGAATTTATTTTTAATGAATTTTTCAAATAACATACACAGGCAGAGCTCTGTCTTTGGGCACTGTTTTCCCACATAGCTGACTCAGGGGATCCCTTAGGGAGCTCTGAAAAGTTCTCCTTCCACACACACTCCATTTGCTGGCCCTTGACCAAAAGACAAACCCTGATTAAAACCTGATCAAATACCCTAGCTTTAAAAGGCTCTGGCTTTTAAAATTCCTCTGGCTGCCTAAGGAAGAGGGCCAACACTCTCAGCTTGGCATTCCAGGTGCTCCTTTGGCAGCTTAAACTTTCCTAGGTGACCTCATCTCCAGTCTCCTCAGAAATTCCCATGGCACAACTCACTGCCCCCCACAAACTGAACCCTTTTTCTGGTTTTCACTTTATAGTAAAAGTCTTTCCCCTTGGTTATTTAAAACTCTCATTCACATTTACCACCTCGATGCCCAGTCCCAACTGTCTCACCCTGCTTGCACAGACCTCATTGGGTCCCCACTGCTCCCAGGGGCACATGCTACTCTACCCCTGCCAGGTTCTGACCACAATGAACTTGCCAAACTCTTTCCCCAATCTAGCCAAACTAGGTGAAATATGGCTCCCAATTTGTGCTTTTGCTCATGTGGTTTCCTCCATCCAGAATTCTCTTCCTTCTTCCCTCTGAGTACCTGTTGACATCACAGCCATCACTCAACTCAACTCCAACCTCCTCCATGAATCTTCCATGAGGTCAGAAGTCATCTCACCTTCCCAGCTACTGTCTGCATGGGCATTCATTCGACCCAGACACAGTGGGCTCTCCTAGACAAGAACCAGGTTAAGTGCTGGTATAAGGGCGACAGGTCAGGCACAGTTCCAGTTTGTGGGGAAAACTCTGGTCTAGCTGGGAAACTGAGAGGCAAATATCTACCAATAAGTGACCTCAGAGACAGTACAGCACAGAGGTTAAAGGCATTGATATAATTCATAATTCCATGGGTCAAGTCCTAGCTCTGCTGTGCACAAGCTGTGTGTGAACTTAAGCTAGTTTCTTTGCCTCTCTGTGCCTCAGAGTCTTATCTGTAAAATGGAGATAAGAGGAGCAACCTCAGGGGGGTTGTTCTGTGAACTAGGTTAGTTATCTTACGTAAAGTGCTGAGAACACAGCCATGGCACACGATAAACAATACATATTGGTTGTTTATTACAATTTCAAGGTGTTGTGGGAATGAGAAAGAAGGTTTTGTAGAATGAGGTCTTGAAACATAAATAAGCTAGAAGCAGAGGGAAAGCCTGGACAACAGTGCGGAGGTGTGAAGAGTGAGTGGAGTATGAATGAACCATGTTTTTCTCAGTACTTCAATACTTGCCCCTTCCCTTCCCAGCCACTTGGGACTTGTTCTGAGGGGCTTCAGGACCTGGCATAAAGATGAGGCGGAGTGAGGTTCTCCTGAACTTCATTGTGATAATGCACACCACATCATTTACTTAATATTTTTCTCTAAATCAACTTATTTTGTCTACCTAAATTTCTTAAAAAGGGAAGTTTAAAGCACAAAAGTAAATGAAAATACAAAGTATCTCAAAAAGCAAGCAAGTAAAACTGTTAGTCAATTCTAGCTAGCTAATGCTGTTACAGCACAGATTATTAGCATTTGGTAGAGTTAGTGACATGCAGGCACCAACTAGACTTTCTCTTTGTCATTGTTAGCAGGACTGAGAAAAAATATAAAAAATTACCTCCTTCTAAATAAAAAAAAACATCCCTTTTATTATCGAAACAAAAAAAATCAAATATTTGGGAATAAATCTAACAAAAGAGGTAAAGGACCTATACAAAGAAAACTATAAAACACTGTTAAAAGAAATAGAAGAAGACACAAAGAAATGGAAAGACATCCCCTGCTCATGGATTGGAAGAATAAACATTATTAAAATGGCCATCCTTCCAAAAGCAATCTACAGATTCAATGCTATTCCAATCAAAATTTCAATGTCATTCTTCAAAGAAATAGAACAATTATTGATGAAATTCATATGGAATCACCAAAAACCCCGGATAGCCAAAGCTCTACTGAAAAAAAAAGAAGGAAATGGAGGCATCACACTCCCAGACTTCAAACTATACTACAAAGCCATAATCATCAAAACTGCATGGTATTGGAACAAGAACAGACACACAGACCAATGGACTCGAATAGAAAATCCAGAAATAAACCCACAGATTTATGGTCAACTAATCTTTGACAAAGGAGCAAAGACTATGCATTGGAGCAAAGAAAGTTTGTTCAATAAATGGTGCTGGGAAAACTGGGTCGCTACATGCAAAAGAATGAAGCTTGACCACTACCTCACACCATACACAAAAATCAACTCAAAATGGATTAAAGAACTAGACATAAGACCTGAAACCATAAAATACATAGAAGGAAATATAGGCGAAACACTATGGGATTTGCACATCAAAGACATCTTTACAGACACATCACCCAAAGCAGTGATAATGAAGGCAAAGATAAACAGCTGGGACTACATCAAATTAAAGAGCTTCTGCACAGCAAAAGAGACAATAACAAAAACAAAGAGAAACCCCACCAACTGGGAGAACATTTTTGCACCCAACACTAATGATAAAGGACTGATCACAAAAATCTGCAAAGAGCTGATGAGACTCAGCAACAACAAAGAAAATTATCCAGTCAAAAAATGGGCAGAAGAGCTAAAAAGAAACTTCTCTGAAGAGGAAATGCAAATGGCCAACAGACATATGAAAAAATGTTCAACATCACTTGTAATCAGGGAAATGCAAATCAAAACTACAATGAGATATCATCTTACACCAGTGAGAATGGCACATATTAAAAAAACTAGCAACAACAAATGTTGGCGAGGGTGTGGAGAAAAAGGAACTCTTCTGCACTGTTGGTGGGAGTGCAAACTGGTCCAACCACTATGGAGAGCTGTGTGGAGATTTCTGGACCTACTAAACATAGAGCTTCCATAGGATCCAGCAATTCCACTCCTAGGTATTTACCCAAAGGACACAGAAACATCAATTCCAAAGAACACCTGCACCCCTATGTTTATAGCAGCACTATTTACAATAGCTAAGCTTTGGAAACAGCCCAAATGCCCAAAAATAGATGACTGGATCAAGAAGATGTGGTACATATACACCATGGAATATTACTCAGCATTCAAAAAAGATAAACACATGCAATTTGCAGCAACATGGATGGCGTTGGAAGGGATCATGCTCAGCGAAATAAGCCAAAAAGAAAAAGAAAAATACCGGATGGTCTCACTCATAGCAGGAATCTAGAAAACTTAAATAAGGGACCAGGAAAATGAATATAAGAAAGTGAAAATCAAAATCAACAAAAAACTATGAACCAGAGACACTTTTTGGGGGGTGGGGGCGGGAGGGTTGGGATTGGGGTCAGAATGGGGCGTTTGCAATTGTATGGGGGAATATAAAAATAAAATTTATTATTTAAATTAAAAAAAAAAAATTACCTCCTTCTGCTAGTGCCCTGCACCTCCTAAACCATTTTGTACACTGAGAAGGGAAATATCCCCGTCCCTCGAGATAGGAGAGAATGAATTTCAAATGGCTCTATTTGCTGTCAATTTCTTTTCTTTTTTTTTTTTTTTAAAGATTTATCTATGCATTCAAGAACCAGGGTGTAGGCCAGAGGGGTGGGGCGATGAGAGGATTCACCAAAGACAGAGTGGGGAGCAGAACAGGCAGACTGTCTGAAATACACTGCTGAGGGGAGCGGTGGGCGAGTCAGGAGAGGTCTGCTGTGCCATGTGGGTCAGCTCCCTGGCCGGGCTTTGAACTCTTGCTGCAGAGGCTGTGGATAGCCTCATAGTGCAGTGCTTAACCCTTTGTGCCACGAGGGAGGCCCCTTTGTTGCCAATTCGTAAAGAGGAAGATGTTCTGGGATGGGTGTCCTCCCTGGGCTCCTCTGAGAGTTTCTCCCTCTGGCACCCCTGGGTGGGCACTACGCCTCACTTCTGCTGAGTCACTGCATGTGGGGCTGGAGGAGGTTTCTGGGAAATACCTTTTGTTCCTTCCCTTCCCACTGTTTACCTGGTTGGGCTTGGTGTCCCAGGCTGGTGATCAATAAAGGATTAAATGTAAAAACAAACCAAACCTGCCCGTCCTTAAATAATATTACTTCAAGGGAAAGGTCCCAACCCCCAAATAAATCGAGTTTCAGGTAAGAATCAGAAAGAACTCTGACAACATAATCCTGCATGCAGGATTTGCCTCTGGGTGATGGGCTTTTTTCTGTGCTCATTAAGGATAGAGAAAACTGAGAAGAGAAAGGGTTTTTTTTTATTTTTTGGCCAATGACAGTTTACTGTTATTATTCACTAAGCTTCTTTGAAGTGAACAAAACCTGAAATAAGAAGTCAACTCTTTCTTCATCCCTTTGTCCTCTCTCCTTTTGTTCCTTCCTCTCCACTCAAGAGTATTTCTGGAGGACCCATGATGTGTCAGGACAGCTTCCCCAGCTTTGATTCCTCTGAACACCAGTTTCCCATTCCTGCCTAATCTGTAATCCACTTCTACTTGTAGTTACTTGATTTTAAAAAATGTGATCCCCATTGTTTTACTTACATAAATGTGGCCTCATCCTGAAATAATAAAATGCATAAAATGAAGGGCTAGACTATCAAGTTTCCGCCTACACCCCACTCGGTGTGTTAGCAAATCCTGTTGGCTCTTCCTTCCAATGTACTGTTTCTTCAAAAGACTGTAGCAAAAGGACTTGGTGGGACAATGAAGGAAACAGGGCTGGTGAAATGTTAAGGATTGTTGAAACTGGATGTTTACTTTATTACTTATAATTATTATCTATATTTGAGTTTTTTCATAATAAAAATTTTAAGTCTTTGATCTAACATCCACTTCTGGAAACTATCTTAACAAACATTTCAGATACAGAAAAAAACTTTACAAATAATACTTTTCAAATAGCAATAATGAAAAATTGGGACTATACTAAATTCTCATAATAGGACAACAGTATAAACTATGGGACACCCCTTAGTGGAATGTTATGTCATTAAAAAATTGTTTATTCAGGCTATGTACCAATACGGAAAATATATACACTATAAAGTGAAAAATAGGACATTAAATTGCATATACATGATTAAAACTACACAAAGACGTATCTTTCAAAAAGACTAAAATTTGAAAATAATTTTATATATCCAGAATGTGACCACTTCCCACCACCTTTAATGCAGCAACCATTGCTGGAATCTCTAGCCTCACCCCTGCTTCCACAATTCCATCCCTTCCCTAAGTGGTTGCCAGAGGGGTCTTTCAAAATTGTCGATCAGATCATCTGAACAAACCCTCTGCTTAAAACCCTATAAAGCTTCCTAGCTCTCCAAATGAAAGCCAAATCTCAACCTCACCACTACCCTTCAGGCTGTAGGAGGAATCACCTCCCCTGCTATTTCTGCTCAGCTCTCTGCCATCCCAGCCAAACTGACCTGCTTGCTACTCTTCAAACATTCACTGCTGTTCAGGACCTTCGCATTTCTTGCCTGTGCGGTGCGCTGCCTGGGTACCCGAACGTGCACCCCCTCCCTCCTGCTTCCTTGGCAGCTCTTCAGAGGCCTCCCCTGAGCTCCTTAGGCAAAACTTCCCCCCTCTTTCTTTTTCTTCACAGCAATTACCAACACCTCCCACTGGAACATTTATTTGCTTATTATGTCTTCTAGTTACAATGCAAACTCCTGAAGAGCAAAGATGTTTAGTCTGATTCTTGGCTGAATCTCCAGTATCCAGCAGAGTCTGACACCTTGTAGGTGATCAATAAATACCTGATGAATTAAAGAATGCTGAATTAAATAACCACCCCGGAGTGGTAAGCTTCACGTGGGCTTACTGTTTCTTAGGTGATCTCCCTCCCCCTGAAAATTCCAGGGAGTGGTGGACCACAGTGGAAACTAAGGTGGCTGATTATTTTCCATCTGGGGCCTCCCCAGCACAATGGAGGCAGCAGAGCATGGTGGTAAATAGTATGGTTTGGGAAAAGTATTCGTTTTCAGAGAATTAATTGTTCCTTGCACAGAAAGAGGATGATAGTTCCTACTTCCAGGTCTGGGTGGCGACTAAAGCAGAGAAAGCCCATAAAGCACTTAACAAGCACACGGAAGGCACAGAGTAGGTGTGCGACAACAGGCAGACAAATTAATCAACAACCACATGTGTGCCTTTGTCTCTTTCAAGTTTACAATGTACCCTTATACATGCTTTATCTGACTTGGGCCTTTCAACAACCCTGTCGGTTTTATCACCATTTTATAAATGAGGAAACTGGGTCAGAGGAACAAAGTGCTTGTCCACAGAACACAACCCAATTTGACCAGAACTCGGTGCCCTTTCCTCCAGCAACACAAGCTATTATTACTGCCCATGTTAATAAAGATAACCTGCATGACCTACAAGGGCCCAAACTCTAAAGCATGTGCAAGTGTGAAGCTGTGAACCGCAAATGAATGCAGCAAACAAGATCAGCCAGTAAGCCAGGCTTTTCTCACTCCCATGGAGGCTGGGGTGCCTGGCTCCCACCTCTCGGAATGAATGAGGCTCTGGAACAAGTCTGAACAGACAAGGCTCCTCACGGAGGAATCCACAATTTCCCAAGCAGGACTATACCAAAGGCCTTTCTGTTGTACCTCCCATTTTGATTTGGGCTGAAGCTCTAAGCAGCAAATGTCTGAGGTCCTTGTTGTCCTGCAACCTCTGACCCAGTCTGCTTGACAAGAAAGGTATTTTCCCCAGAGGTAATCAAGGGATTACCAAGCCCTGCATGGAGTTCTGGGCCTGGGTTTCATTGGCCTCCTCCACCTTCTTGGGTATCTGACAGAAGTGGGGACCAGCAGCTGCTTAGACCCACGCCCACTTGGAACAGGGTCGAAGGCTGAAGGACGTGGCAGCAAAGAGATCAGCAGGTGTTAGACATGAATGTTAGAACCAAGAGGCAAAAAATGCAGACTCAGGAGTCATGGATTATTAAAGTTGCAGCCTCTGAGAGACAAAGTAACCTCCTACTGTAGCACTTAAGTCTCACAGGGTTGGCGAAGATTAGACTTGGTGGGAACAAGGCAAAGGTTGCTTCCAAATGGAAATTCTGATGGCTACTGGGTCCTGGGTATCTTCTTACAGTCAGAGGTTTAGGATACCAAGTTAGCAGCAAAATTCTGCAACCAGGCTCTTGGGAGAAGAGATCAGAAGGGGAGAGAGCAGCTTTCAGAAGGATTCTACCAGGCTTGCTGGCCCCTGGTGATGTGTTATGAGGCCCTGATGGTGCCAGGCTTGTGGCAGACTGTCAGCTACCCAGATACGGAGAGCAGTGCCTGGTGGTCTGATTTGACAGCTTGACATGTGCTCGGTGCATGAGCGGCATTTGGCCACCGTGGTCAATCACTTCCATTTGCACACTGCTTACAGCAGAGCAGAGTGCTCGTGCCTCAATACCAGCATGGCCTCTGAAGAGCAATCACTGTCCTGGATGGGTACTGGCCTGGCCAGACGAGGCTGAGGGCCACTCTGGGGGTCATCTAGGAAAGTGGTCGACATACCCACCCCTGGCCACATCCACATTCAGTAAAGGTCACTTTAGGTATCCACGTTAATGAACTTCACAGAGGGAGTTCTAGGGTTCATGATCTTGCATCAAAACTATAAAAATCTCTTTCTCTTTTATATATATGTCTCTCTGAAGAGAGTTTAGCATCCAAGGCTGCTCAGAGCAGGGCAGACTAAAAGACAGAATAGACTGCTTTGCTCATGCAAAAAATTCCCAGGAAGAACAGCAGGAAGCACATGAGGAGGGAAGATGCACTGGCTCCAGGTGCCTGGAAGTCCTGTGACCTGGGAGATGGGCCATCTTCCTTCTCCACCAAGTCCCTGATACTTTTCTGTATCTCTCGCAGGTGAGAAGAGGAGCTTCGTCCCTCGGGGATCAATCCTGGGACCATTTCTGGTTGCCAGTCCTGGCTGGAGGGACCAGCTTGGACTGGTGATGTGGGCCAGGCAGGATCAGAACTCGTCCCGCAGCTGAGGGGGCCGGTCCATGCCAAAGAAAGAGGACGGTCTTCCCCAGAGGTCCCGTTCCCGCTTCACAAAGGCAGTGAAGGAGGAGACACAGTTGCCAATAAAGTGGTCTGCTTGGCCGAGGATGTAGAGATCAATCTGAGCCACCTCAGGCTTCAGGCTCACCACCTTTACCTGTAGGAGAAAGAGCAGAGCGTTTTAGGCAAGGTGGCTGCAGGTCAAGGTGGGAAGCTTGACTAAGGCCTGTAGTCCTTATGCCCAACCTTCTTCACTGGGCTGAAGAAAACACAAAAGGGGGCACAGAGAGGATTAAGATATGGGGTCCAGCATCTGACCAAAGCATTGTCCACTTCTGCCCAGGAACACCCCCACCCAAGTCAAACACCTCGTGTCCCAGCACCCCTTCCCCACAGCCTGCCTCAGCCCCCTTGCCCCACCCCCCTCCACACCTTTGCTTGTGTAGTTCCCTCTGCCGGGAATGTCTTTTCCCTTCCCATTAAAATCCTGACCATGGGGCCGCCCCTGGTGCCACAGGTGGTTGAGCGCCGCGCTGTGAAGCTGTCTGCAGTCTCTGCAGCACCGGTTTGCTCCCTGGCCGGCTGGCAAGGGTCCCACATGGCGCGGCAGGCCTCTCCTGTCATGCCTGCTGCTCCCCCTCAGCAGTGTACTTCGTCAGTCTGCCTGTTCTGTTCCCCACTCTGTCTCTGGTGAATCCTCTCACCCTCCCGTGCATCTGGCCTGTACCCTGGTTCTTGTATAAAATAAATTAATAAATCTTTAAAAAAATAAATAAATAAAATCCTGACCATGCTCTCAGCTCAAGGTCTACCTTTCCTATGAAGGCCTTATCTGAAGGGCTAGGTTTTCCTCACCAAACAGTGTTCTGACCAAACAGCACCTCATTCAATTCTGCCACCCCAATACCTCTGAACCCAAAGTCCTTTCCAATCTATTCCTGAGACAGGACCCAAAAGGGAACCCTTCTTTTGATGGATTACCACTCCCTGGGTCCAGACACCACAATCTCATGCCTCTTTATGGCCCTCTAGCTCCCTCTCTTGCAAGTCTGCTCACTAGAACACCCAGAGGAAATTTCTTGAGATATCCCTACTCCTTTTGCTCCCTCCTCCCCAAGGTGAACATATCAAAATGACGCCCAACTGCTCTTCAGAAAAGATGACACATCTTGACGGTGGCCTATAGGGTCCTGTTCAGGCCATGTTCCCATGTCCTCTCATATCTCCCCACATCATCCTTTCTGTTCCAGCCACTACCCACCAGACTGCCTTCTTCCTCGGGACCTTTGCACATGCTTTTCCCTATGTCTGAGGTGGCTTGTAACCTGAGTTGCTCTGCAACTCAAGTCTCTCTTCCTAGGGGAAGCCGTCCTCTCTGGCCCCCCAGGACCCTCAGTGACCAGGATCTTTTGCTCTACACTCTCACAGAACCATATCCCTTTACATCAGAGTACATACACATCTTAGTTTTCAGTTTTCACTCCTTAGTGATTCTCTGATTAATGTCTCCTCCACCTGACTAGGCTGTGGCTGTATCATTTTGCCACTACTGGCTGGGGTCTGCCTCAATAAACATCTGCTGAATGTATAAGTGAATGAACCAATGAACCCCCACCACCACCACCACCCCCCACCCCCGCCCCATGGCATGGCATATATTGCAGTTCTTTGTAAAGCATCTTTTCTGAGCCCAGACTGTGAGCCTAGAGGGCAAGACTGTATCTGATTTATCAGTATCCAGGGCTCAGCACTGGCCCAGCTTAATGGAAGACCAAGGCTTAGTTCAGGAGGAAGGGTGGGTTCTGAGTTCATGCAGAGGGGCCTGAGGAGTGGGGAAGGGCAAGAACTGTGGCACAGGAACAGGAAATAGAAAATGGCGAGAGGTTCAAGGTGTAACAAATATATCAACACTAAAAACTTACAGAAAACTCCCTGGGACTCTCCAAATGCTTCAACTTAGTACAGAGGTGGTGGCGGAGGGCGGGGGGAGGGGGTACCAGCTAAAATGGGGCTGAAAGTGCTTTGCTGTCACATAGACATTTCTGATGTAACAAAAATCATCACCTCACTGTTTGGATGGTAGCGAAGAAATACTGGTTTAATCACAGCCAAAATCCCCGAACAATTCAACCCACGCCCTGAAACTTACCCACTTTGTGTCATGCCCACTATAATTAGCTCCGAGACCTCTTGGGTAAATTTTATCTTTTTTAGGACTTTGGTTTCCTTAGCTATAAAATGCAGGGGTTGGGATGAGGCACTCCCAGCTCTGACAGTCTTCTATCGAGTGGGTGGGTGTGGGACCAGAAGGCACTGACTCAGCACTCTCTCCATAAGATGGGCTTTCCAGCCTGTGTCTGGGGTAGAGAGAAGGGAGCCCCTCCACACAAAAATGAGGGTGCCCACTGCTAGAAAGCACTTTTGCCTTTTACAGTCCACACGAGCATTTAGGGATTTCAATCATTCAACAAAGTCTTTTTGAATGGTTATTATTTATCTATTTTCACTTACCTACTTATTCTTCATACATTCGTCATACTTCCTACTTATTCTTCCTATTCTTCCCACTTATTCTTGATACAGTACCAAGGACACTTTATTCATTCATAGTCCATTCAGTCATAGACTGTATATCAACTATTCATCACTTCCTTAAGCATTTGCTAAGCACAAAAGAGACTTGCCTTTATCAGCCACTTACTTGTACTATAGATTATAGATAACTCTTTCGAACACTTGTTTTGTACCAGGACTGTGTTAATTTCTTTGTATTTGATCTTCACAGTTACCCTATAATATAGATACTACTCATCCCCATTTTATAGACAAGGAAACAAGCACAGAGAGGTAAACTTAAGCATAGCTGCACAGTGAGTAGAACCCAAGTTCTCTGGCTCCTGAGTCCATGATCTTAACCCTCTGCCACACCTGACTCTACCAAGGGCCCACTCTCACATCCTTAGTCAACAAACATTTAACAAGGGTCACTATGTATTAGGCATGTCTCAGTCCCTGGAGACAGCAAAGCCTGAGAGGTCAAAGTACCAGGCTAGCCTTGGAGAAACAAAACAGTGAGTCAGCTTCGGAACCTGTCTTCAAAGAGCCACAGCTCCTGGGAGAAAGACATGTTTCTAGACTAGTCTCTTACTTAGCCTAGAAAGTGGCTCAGAGAAGATGTGAGAAAGTACAGGGACAGTTCCCAGTAGGGACACATTAGCTACAAGAGTGGAAGAGAAACCAAGAGAATCTGTGGAGATGGTGCTTGAGCTAGGTAGGGTTTGAGGGGCGGGTGGGAACTGGAGGAGGAATTGGATGTCAGGCCAAAGCCTGGAGGTGTGAGGACGGGAAGCAGGGAGTGGGAGCGGTGTGACCTCCCTGGTGCTGTTTTTGATTCCCTTCTGGCCACACTCCCCCTTTGCCTGTGCATACCTTCCCTTTGAAGAGCTGCTGGATCTCGGGCACATAGTTCTCAGAATCGGTGGCAATGTAGATTGACTGGGCATTCAGCGTCTTCACCCAGAGCTTCACAGCCCGCCTGATTTCCTTCAGGTCAGGGAGGCACATAGTCAGGGTGAGGGGGGCGGCCGTGCTGCGGCTGTAGCCCACACACTGTGGAGAGGCCATGAAGTGCGAGCCGGCGGTCCCATCCTTCAGCATGGCGCAGGCATTTTTCTATGGGGTGGGATGGGAGCATGAAATCAAAGACGAGCAACTGCCCCTGAACCCCAGCAGCAAGAGCTAGCAAGGGGGAAAAGGCAAGGTGCACAGGAAGAGCTCAGCTGTGTTTTTTAAGAGTGCAAAAAGGGGAGAGGGCATTGCATCAAAACAATAACTGCAGTTATTTCTGGCTAGTGGGGTATATGGGCTTTGCACAATTTTTTTTTTTCCTCTCGTCTTACTGCATTATCTGGGACTTCCAGTAGAATTCTGAACCTGGCACTGATAATGGACAGCATTATCTGATTCCTGACTTCAGTGGGAACATTTCCGATAGCTCTCATGAAGTCCATGTTTACTGTGGGTTTCGGAGAGATAGCCTTTATCAAGTTAAGGTGGGTCCCCTTCTAATCCTGGTTGGCTGAGGTGGTTTTTTTTTTTTTTCGTTTTTATCATGAATGGGTGTTGACTTTTATCAAATATTTTCTTGGCTTCTTTTGAGATGGTTATATGATTTTTTTTTTCCTTTGGGAGTTAAAATAGCAATATCAATGCACTTGTAGTATAAATTTCACTTGTTTGTGTTAAAGGTTCTTTAATACATTATTAGGGTTTACTTGCTAGAAGAACCTGTGCACCTATGTTTATGATGATGGGCTATACTTTGCTGTGTTGACCTTATCCCAGTTTGATATTAGTGTTATGCTAGTTTTTTTTTTTAAAGATTATTTATTTATACAAGAACCGGGGTACAGGCCAGATGCGAGGGAGGGTGAGAGGATTCACCAGAGACAGAGCGGGAAATAGAAAAGGCAGACTGACGAAATACACTGCTGAGGGGAGCAGCGGGCGTGACAGGAGAGTTCTGCTGCGCCATGTAGGACCCTCGCTGGCCGGCCGGGATCGAACCAGAGCTGTAGAGGCTGTGGACAGCTTCACAGCGCTGTGCTCAACCGCCTATGCCACCAGGGAAAGCCCCATATACTAGTTTTATAGAAAAATAGCATCTTAAATCTTTTCATGTTCTAGGAAAGTATAGATGGGAACTGTTTCTCAAAAGTTTGGCTAAAATATTCCGTGTCTGGCCTGCTTTCTTTGGAGATAAGGGGCAGGAAAGAAGTCTAGTGGGTAAAAAATTCCAACTGAGGGCCTCCCCTGGTGGTGCAGCGGTTGAACGCTGGGCTGCGAGGCTGCCCGCAGCCTCTGCAGCGCTGGCTCGATCCCTGGCCACCGGTGAGGGTCCCACATGGCGCGCAGACCTCTCCTGCCACGCCCGCTGCTCCCCTCAGCAGTGTATTTCGTCGGTCTGCCTGTTCTGCTCCCACTCTGGCTCTGGTGAATTCTCTCGCCCTCTCACGCTTCTGACTGTACCCAGTGCTTGTATAAATAATAAATAAATCTTTTAAAAAAAATTCCAATTGATTGTGAGTGAATTTTGACCTAATTTTTATACTTATTAGTATTTTTTAAGTCTTTACCAATGAGCATTTCTAACATGTACCATATACATCTTCTTAAACAGTACATTACGTTGTCTACATCGATCCTGTTATTTTCACACTGAGGATAATCTGGTGGGGCTTCTGCACATTTACTCAGCCTCCAAGTTCTGGGGATGACATCTTCATTTCTCGGGAGCCCCACCCAACCTCCAGAACTTGTTTTTCGACAAGCAGTCTACCAGCCAAACACTGAGCTGGGACAGGGGATGTCTGGGCGATGGCCTCTCTCTGGCTTGTTGCCTGATCTGGAGTCTAGCTTGTTATCTGTTTATCTGCAAAAATGAGGATGAAATTAGCAACTTTAAAATGAGAGCTGGCAAGCAGGCGCTGTGGGGCCATATTTCTGTTGAGTCTATGGCAGGATCATGGGACAAGGTCCCATGAACTTGGCCGAGGGAGATCTTTCAGTAATGACTGGGATTTGGTCCAATGTTCAGCCCCACAGATGTGAGCCCTGCCAGGAACACATCCAAACCAGCCAGGAAAGGGAGGTGGAGTTACCCAGTCGGAGCCAATGCGCAGGTGAATGCCCACATAGGGCCGGAGGAGGTGAGTGTGGATCTGGTCCTCTCCTGTCCTCACCATCTCATCTGACCATACCATGTACTTCTGGAGTGGCCTATGCTCCTCCAGGACAGGGAACTGAGCTGGAGCCCCTGGCAGGGCAAGCACTGGATGTTCTTTTGGAGAAAATCTAGGTATGAAACAGAATGAGGGGAAATCAGACAGAGGATGCACAGAGAGTCTGGCCGCCATCCCCACCCCCACAGGAAAAAGGACAGTGTTGCATCATGTCCCAGAGACCCTGAGGCGGGGCCCCTGTAACATGCAAGAAGCATGAGAGGTTGTGAAATTCCAACAGGCTGATAAGAAACCTTGGTGGCGGCAATAGGTGCAATATGCAATACTGTCCCGCCACATGGAATTTACAACCCTCTTTGCTTGTTTAACAATTAAAAATTTACAGTAAGCATTCCAACCTTTTGTATGTCATGCTGGCCTCCAATCTATGGTGCAGCAATTCACTCCAGGGTTGGGTGTCTGGACTGAGGCTTTGCCCTTTTACCTACATGGTGGGAGTGGGACAAGCAGCTGCTTATAGAGGGCAATGCACAGATCACACTCACAGAGAATGTGTGCACTAGAGGAGGTCATTCATTTGACACAATACATATTTACTGACTGCCTACTATGTGCTGCTGTCCAGGGTAGAACAAGACAGGCACAGTTCCTGCCTCGAGGAAATGGTCAGAGGCCTGCAGATGTCCCCACAACCCCTCTTTGTTGCTGGACTCAAGCTTCTGAAGGCAGTGTGTCCATATGCCTAGACCAGTGTCTGTCACACATAAGGGTCCACTAAGTATTTGCTGACTAAACAAGTAAGGAGCAAACCTATGTTCCCTCTTCAACTAACCCCAGAGCCTATCTGAGCAACAGGAAACATCCCGCTGCTCTATAAATGCATAACCTGCTTTCAAACCCCGATCTCTACATACTTCTCCCCATTTCCTGGAATGCCTTCCCTCTGCCATGCCAGACAAAACCCTTTTCTGAAAGTTACGAAATAGGCACCACCACTCTGGAAGACATTTTGGCAGTTTCTTATAAAACCAGACATGCAATTACCATATGACCCAATAATTGTATTCTTGGCATTCATCCCAGAGAAATGAAAACCTATATTCACACATGAACCAGTACACAAATGTTCATAGCAGCTTTATTCATAATAGCCAAAAACTGGTGAGAACTTGGATGTCACTCAACAAGTGAATGGTTAAACAAACTGGAGCATCAACACCCTGGAATACTATTATAAGAAAAAAGAACAAACTATTGACACAGGCAACAACTTGGATGGATCTCAAGGGAACTCTGCCAAATGAGGAGAGCCGATCCCAAAAGGTTACATACTGTATGAGTCCATTTATGTAACATTTTTTAAATGATCAAATGGAGAACAGAACAGAAATGGAGAATTTAGTGTTGTCAGAGGCTATGTGTGTGTAGATGTGCAGCTGTGCGAGCGCGCACACACACACACACACACATAAGTGAGTACAAGTATAACCGGGAAAATCTGAATAAGATGGGTGGATTATATCACTGTCAACATCCTGGTTGTGATACTATACATAAGCTTTGCAAAATGTTACCAATGAGGAAAACTGGGTAAAGGGCACAGGGGATTGATTTTTTTTCACAACTGCAGGTGAAAGTTATAACTCTCTCAATGAATTCAATTAAAAATCATGAAATAGGGCCTCCCTGGTGGCGCAGGCAGTTGAGCGCAGCGCTATGATGCTGTCCGCAGCCTCTGTAGGGCCGGTTCGATCCCCACTGGCCTCGGAGCAACCCACACGGCAAGCAGACTTCTCCTGTCTTGCCCACTGCTCCCCTCAGCAGTGTATTTCATCAGTTTGCCTGTTCTGTTCCCCACTCTGTCTCTGATGAAACCTCTCACCCTCCTGCGCATCTGGCCTGTACCCCAGTTCTTGTATAAATAAAATAAATAAATCTTAAAAAAAAAAAACAAACATGAAATACTTCAAACCATACAGGGAAAACATTTTTTATACTTTCACTTTTTTATTTTGGTTTATTTTTCTTTCTTTCTAGTTTTCTTCTTTCATTTTGTTTTCTTCTTACAGGAAATAATTTAACAGTACATACACCAATGACTCAAATTAGCAGATGTTAACCCTTTGCTTTGTTTTGAATTTTTTTTAAAAAAGTGCACACCTAAATAAAGTCTAGCTTATCATCTTTTTCTCTTTTCTTTTTCTTCCTAGAAGTATTGTGGCTTTATGCTCAATTATACTTTTATTGTTGATAGACAAGGGCATTGTTCTGTATACTTTGCACACAGTATAAAGGTAAAGGCATGGTGTGTCGAGACAGATGGCCTGTTCTCACACTGACTGTGCCACTCACTGACCTGGCAGTTAGTTAACCATTGGGCTTGATCATTCTGTGGGTTTCCACATCTGCACTGTAGAGCTGATAACAGTTCACACCTCATAGGACTGTTGAGAAGATTAATGGATAAATACAAGCAAAGTATTTAGCGCAATGCTTGACACATAGGAAACTCTCAGAAAAACCCATCACCATTATTGTCATATTGAATGCAACCTATTTCACCTTTTCAAAACCTCACTTTAAGTTCTGGCAATGTGGCCATATTGATCCCGTGGATCATCTGATGGTTCTGACTCTCCCGAAATCTCCCATTTTGCATTAATAAACCACAATTTACCTGTCTAGCCCCCTCCTGCTGAGGGGTATTCTAACCTTTCACTCACATGAAGGTGCTACAATGGATGTGCCACTGAAGTTCTTCACACCCAACCTAAACTCCTACCTCTGCAAACACTTTCTAAACCTCCAAAACCAGCTGCCTGTCCTGCCCTGTCCTGTGTCGTTCACTCCTCAACACTTGTGTGCTCAGCAGACCCCCTGCTCAACTGTGAGCATGTGAGGGTAGGGCCCTGAGCAGTCCCGTACCATGATTCCCACACACAGTGGTCCAGGGCCAGTGGAGAGGAAGCAACGAATAGGAGTCCACTGACACAGACAGCTAGACAGCTCTGTAAGACACAGTCTTGTTGGACTTTAATTTCATTTATACAGACATGTGAATCATTTATTGAAACTTATCATGGGACAGGAAATGCTCCAATTGCTTGATAAACACTATTCACTGATTTTCAAAAAAGTCTTGGGGGTAAGTACCATTGCTGGAAGTAAGTACATTTTACAGATGAGGAAACTGAGGCATAGAAAGGTTAAGTAATAAGCCCATGGTCACACATCTAAGAACTGTAGAGCTGGGATTTGACTCTTAGCAGTCTGCTCTGGAACCAATGTTCTTAACTACTATATCTCACGCCAACCTCCCCTACCCTAGCCAATAAGCACTTCAAAAGCTGAATTTCTAGCCCTTAGTATAGGCCTCAACACACAGTAGATACAATAAATATTTTTAGAATGGACAAAAAAAAAAGTAGAAAGGATTCAGGGATTTTTTTTTTTTTAATTTTTTTTTTTAATAGAGGCATGTTTTATTTATTTATTTATTTGTTTGTCTGTTTGTTTGTTTTGTTTATACATGCACTGGGTATAGTCAGAAGTGCGGGAGGGTGACAAAATTCACCAGAGCCAGAGCGGGGAGCAGAGCAGGCAGAAGGACCGAAGTACACTGCTGAGGGGAGCAGCAGGCAGCAGGAGAGGTCTGCGCGCCATGTGGGACCCTCCTCCGGTGGCCGGGGAGCAGCCGGGGATTGAACCAGCGCCGCAGAGGCCGCGGGCAGCTTCGCAACCCAGCGCTCAACCGCTGCGCCACCGGGGAGGCCCGGATTCAGGGATCTTAACAAAAAGACCAGATCAGGTTGTTAAGGGTTAGAGAAAAATGAAGCACACATTCATTCAGCAGTACCTGCTACAGGCCAGACCTTGGCTAAGCGCCTTTCAGATGGTACCGCAAAGAATTTCAAAAAGGAGGCAAAAGTTGTGATCCCTGAGGGGGCTGGAACATTTTTTAAAAATATATTTATTTATTTTCTATTTACAATAGCTAAGCTAGGGAAACAACCCAAATGCCCCAAAATAGATGACTGGATCAAGAAGATGTGGTACATATACACCATGGAATATTACTCAGCATTCAAAAAAGATAAACTCATGCAATTTGCAGCAACATGGATGGAGCCAGAAGGGATCATGCTCAGCAAAATAAGCCAGAAAGAAGAAAAATACTGGATGGTCTCACTCATAGCAGTAATTTAGAAAACCTAAATAACGGACCCGGAAAAAGACTAATTATAATAAAGTAAAAATGAAAATCAACAAGCAACTATAAACCAGAGACACACTACGGAGGGGCGGAGAGAGAAAGGATGAAGGTCAAAATAAGGGGGACTGCAATTGTATGGGGAATATAACCAAAATGAAAATGCATATATTGTGCAAAAATGAAAAATGATGTAAGAATAATATAAAATAAAATATAAAAAATATATATTTATTTATTTTGTGCGTAGAAGAACTGGGAATGTACACCCCTCTGGGGTGTAGACCAGAGGTGTGTGTGTGGGGGTGTGTTGAGAGGATCCACCAGAGACAGAGTGGGGAGCAGAGCAAGCAGATCCACCAAAATAGACTGCTGAGGGGAGCAGCGGGTGAGACAGCAGTGGGAGAGGTCTGCTGTACCATATGTGGGTTAGCTCCCTGGGGATTGAACTCAGGCCTCAGTGGTGATATCACTGAGACTTAACCCCTAGCCCAGCAGGGAGGCCCTGGAACATTTTGATAAAATTGGGATCTGTGCCCTCCCAGACCTCTTGCAGCTGACCTTTGGTAAATTCTAAGTTTGGAATGTCTGTCCCTTGTAGGAAGGTCAGGTGTACACATACCAACCAACTGGCCCAGCTGAGCTCCCAATGACAGCCAGCATCTTAGGCCTGCTACGAGTGAGCCCTCTTGGACACGTAGCTGGCATGCCTTCAGATGATTCCAACCCTGGCCAACAGATCACTGCAGTCACATGAGAACACAAGCAAGAAGCACCTGGCCAATCCAGGTGTCTGTCAACAGATGAATGGGCAAAATGTGGTCTGTACATACAATTGACTATTTAGCCTTAGAAGGACTAACATTTTGATCTATAACATGGATGAATCTTGAAGACACTATGCTAAGAGAAATAAGCCAGAGACAAAAGAATAAATAGTATGTGATGGCGCCTAGACTAGAATAGGCACCTTATATAAGTAAAATAAAATAGGCAAATTAACAGAAATAGAAAAGTAGAACAAAGGTTGCCAGGAGTCGGGAAACGGAGAAAGAGAGAGTGGTTTCATGGCCACAGAGTTTCCGTGTGGGATGATAAAAAAGTTCTGGTGGTGGACAGTGGTGGTGGTTATACAGCATTGAGTGTACGTAATGCCATGAATTGTGCAATTAAAAGTAGTTAAAATAAATAAACACAACACAGCTCCACTAGCATAAATATGCATATACACACCCAGAACCTTTTTTTTTTTTTAAATGTCATGTTTTTATATGTTTAGAACTGATCCTGACAGCAATAGTTACTAACCTGGTAAATAATGATATCAGTTACTCCTCAGACAGTAATTCCATTTTACATTAGCATTTGCAGGCATGCATATGTATATAAAATGTCTAGAAACGGAGGTATATACACCAAAGTATTAATAGTGTTTTTTGGAAGCGTTGGTAGAAGTGTGAGTAAATTTAATTTTATTCTTTATTTAAAAAAAAAAATCTGCCACCAAATCGATGGTAGGTATTCCAGAGGGTATTCAATCCAAGAGGTTAGAAGTTCAACATGGACTGAAACTTAGAGCAGTTGGGATTCCATGAACAAACAAAATAAACAAAAACCAGAGAACTGCCTGGCTAAACCTAGTCAGCCCACAGAACTCTGGGAAATAGAGATTTGTTTTGTTTTTGAGTCACTAAGTTTTGGAGTATTAGGTTATCAGAAAAGTCATGATGCATTTTTGCAACAAAAAACAGAAAAAAATACGGCATAACTTTTCTGACAACCCAATAGCTTGTTACGTAGCAACAGATGAAGAACCTGCCATTTTCCTCCCCCCACACCACCCACACTGGCCTTCTTCCCACTCCTGACCACACCACCAAGCTTATTCCTGCCTCAGAATCTTTGCTTAAGAAGTGAAGTCTCTGCCACTATTCCCTCCAGCTTGTAGGATGGCTGCTTCCTTCTCTTATTTCAGGCCTGTTATGGCTGAATGTCTTTACCCACCAAATTCCTATGTTGAGGTCCCTCCCAAACCTTAATGTGGTAGTATGAGGAGGTGAGGCCTTCAGGAGGGTGAAGACCTCACGATGGAATCAGAGCCCTTATGAGAGACCTGAGAACCAGCTCTCTCCAACAAGTGAGGATACAGCAAGTAGGAAGCACTGGCAAGCCAGGAAGCAGCTCACCAGAACCTGATCCAAGAGGCTCTCAGCAGAACCTGATCGGATCACCCTGATCTTGGACTTTCCAGCCTCCAGAACTGTGAGAAATAAATGCCTGGCATCTAAGCCCTCCAGTTTGGAGTTCTATGAGAATCCCAAATTGACAGTCCTGGCCTGACAATCACATATCACCCCGTTCACATCTTTCATAGCACTGTGTCTTCTGGAACGATCTTAGGTAAAACTTTATTCATTAGCCTCAGCTCCATCAGGACAAGAGCTTACGTGTCTTATTCCTGCCTGTACCCCCAGCATCCAATCCAGGGCTGGACATTCAGGAGCTTCTTAAATATGTGCGGAAGGATGGAAGGAATGACAGAAGGCAGCTGCCTGGGTGGCCCTACTACCTACAGCTACCTCCAGGCACCTCACCTCCCTACAGCTACTAGTCCTTCTTTCCCAACAGTGTGGTTCTAAGGCACAAGGTTCCCCAAGCCTTCATGCGATTCTGGCAACTCGATGAATTCAAACAAGTGTTTCAGCCACATCTCCTGAACAATAAATACATCCAGGTAGCACTGCCCCTTCTCTTTCAGCCAGGACTGTGCACTTCTTTTTGTTTTCTGGAGTTTGCTTTTGGAATGGGTGTCATTTCCCCCCTGCCATTTTGTCTATGGGGCAAAGCTCCATTCTTTTTCTTTTTTTTTTTTCTTTTTTCTTAAGATTTATTTTTATTTATTTACACAAGCACTGGGTACAGTCAGAAGCACGGGAGGGTGAGAGAATTCACCAGAGCCAGAGCGGGGAGCAGAGCAGGCAGACTGACGAAACACACTGTTGAGAGGAGCAGCGGGAGGCAGGAGAGGTCTGCGCGCCATGTGGGAACCTCCTCCGGTGGCCAGGGAGCAGGCGGGGATTGAACCAATGCTGCAGAGGCTGCCGGCAGCTTCGCAACCCAGTGCTCAACCGCTACGCCACCAGGGAGGCCCAACGCTCCATTCTTTGAGGGCGGGTTCTGGCAACAGCTGTAGATCATCAGAGCGGAAAGGGAATAACCAAGTAGATGGACAAGTGGGAATGCCCTGCCTAGGATCAACGAGGGAGGATTAGACTCTGCCATGACTGAGCATCCTCATTTGATCATGAACCAGCTCTGAAGGCCTGTCCCAAATAGGAATTGGAGTTGTTAAAGGCACAGTTCTGGGGGTCTCCCTGGTGATGCAAGGGGTTAAGTCTCAGCACTATGAAGCAATCAGCAGCCACTGCAATACGAGTTCAATCCCCAGCCAGTGAGCTAACCCACATGGTGCAGCAGACCTCTCCTGACTCACCCATTGATCCCCTCAGCAGTGTATTACGGTCAGTCTGCCTGTTCTGCTCCCCACTCTGTGTCTGCTGAATTTTCTCCCCCCACACCTCTGACCTATACCACAGTTCTTGTATGTATAAATCAAAATAAATCTAAAAAGAAAGGCACAGTTCTTTTCTCCAAGGCTATTTAAAATAGGTGCTTTGGAGTCAGACTTCTTAGGTTCAAATCCCAGCTCTACTACTTCAAGTTATGTGACCTTGGGCAAGCGACATCACTCCTCTCTCCTTCAATTTCCTTATGACAGTAGCACCTGTCCCACAGATGTGTGGAAAGAATAAATGAGTTATTACTGTGAAAGACTTAGTACAGCCTCTGGCACGTAGTAGGTGTTAAAAAAATACTCTTATTAACTAATTAAGACTTACACACAGAGGGCCTCCCTGGTGGCACAAGGGGTTAAGATGCAACCTATGAAGCTGCCCACAGCCAGTGAAGCACGAATTCAATCCCCCCAGCCAGCCAGGGAGCAACCCACATGGTGCAGCAGGCCTCTCCTGACTCGCCCGCTGCTCCCCTCAACAGTGTACTTCGGTCAATCTGCCTGTTCTGTTCCCCACTCTGTCTCTGGTAAATCCTCTCACCACCCCCCCCACCTCTGGCCTGTGTATGCATAAATAATCTTTAAAAAAAAAAAGTCTTACACATAGACCCCAGCCCCAACTGCTCCCCCAGCAATTCCATTACCTTGGACAAGTTATTTCTCCTCACTGAATTCAGTTTCCTCATCTCTTAAATGGAAACTGATCAGAATACCCAATTCATGAAACTTTGTAAAGGCTTTAATAAAATAAAACATGTGACTAATAACAGTAATAACTAACAGTGGTTGGCCTTGATTATGTGCCATGAGTTTCACACACCAGGAGACAGCTACCGCACAGGGTTCCTTCCACTCAATCAAGGGGGAAACTCAGGCCAGACAACTGGAGGGCTTGCTCAGGGTCGCTTGAGAAAGAGGCAGGGCTGGGTCAGAGCTCAGGTCTGTCTTATCCTGAGACTGTGCCTGTGCTCATTTCTCACATCAGTCTATCTTCGGCCTACTAACTGCCAAGTGTTGTGATCATGCATGAATTCACAAACTCTTCACAGCTCCTAACCCAAGTCTGACTTCTGACACTCTTCTCGCCATGCTACAACATCAAGGACAAGAGCACTATGTTAGTTAACATCATTATAACGAGACTGTACTTCTCTGAAGACTAGTTGGGGCTTCCTCATTTTTATATATCACCTCTGGCCTTTCAATACTATGTCTCATACATGACAGACGCTCTATAAATATTTCACAGTCTGTGCCAATGCCCTGCTAACCTATTTTTTTTTTTAAATAGTGCCTACTGGAGTGCAATTAATAAAGCACATCCAATTATTATCAGGATGACATCATTTCTTAGTCTGCAACTGAAGCTGTTCATCTCTAGAAGCTGCTTCCAATTTTCACCTTGTGAAGAGGAAGGTAACAGGGGAGTGATTCTTCTCACGCTGAGAGGAGGAAATCGAGACTCATGTGACTGCACAATACTCTTTTATGACATCCTTTATCTACTGATAAACTTGCTCAACCTTGTGGCAGGTCAATGTTCTACTGTGTCAGGAGCTGGATGGGAACAGATCACACAGGATCCCAAGTTCAACAGACAGAATGGTCGCACCTTTGGTCTCATACATCAGGGTGTGGTAGAGGGGGAGAGGGCTAAGAAGCTGCTGAATGCCCATGGGCCCCATGCCCCTCCCCTAAACCCAGCAACACTGCCCCTTCCAAGTACCTCTGGATCCACTGGTCTTTGTAGGAGGCACTGAATGAAATGCCTGCAAAAAGCTCCGATTTGTTGAAACTCACATGAAACTGATCCCAAAATGGGCCAAAGGGGTTTCCTTCCTGCAGAAAGAGTATGGTAAAAGGCTTACTGAGGGGGAGGCAAAGGCATTGGGGGATGGGCCTAGGAACTATGAGTGAGGAGCCCTGGGTGAAGTCATTCAGGCTGAAACACCCTCATAGGATACCCCAGTAGGAATGTCACTTTGCAATTTCTGGGTTCGTGGTTAAGGAGGGCAGTTTGGCCTCCACTCCGCTTTCTAACAGATATTCACCAGTGTCATCTGCACTTAACATCCCATCCCACCAACCCTGCAGCATTGGTGAGGGTCCAGGGAAGAAGTGGACTTTGGATTTGGGGCCCCCGTCTAGAGCTTCAAGAGACTTTCAAGATCAGAAAATCCAATGTCCTTATTTTCAAGATGTAAACCAGGGCCCAGGCAGAGTAAGATACTTGCTCAGGGTCACACGCACATGAGGGCAGTGTTGGGACTGTAAACCAGGTTCCCCTTCTCAAAGTTTATGGCTCTTTCAATTACCTTCCTTAGATGAGCACCGAAAGACATGTTGGGGATAGTCTTATCCCTAAAGTACCAGAAATCTATAAATTTTTACTGATAAAAAATAACTTCTCATTTATCTCTGAGAGGCAGAAAAGTATAAAGAAGGTAGATGGTGCAGTTAATTACCTAGGATCAGATCCCACTTCTACCACTTGCTATGTGACCTCGTGCAAACTATTGAGAATTTCTGTGTCACACTCAGTGTTCTCACTATAAAACATGGCTGTTGGGCCTCCCTAGTGGTCGAGAGGTTAAGTCTCAGTACTATCACTGCTATGACCTGTGTTCGATCCCTGGCCGGGGAGCTGACCTACACATGGCACAGCATACCTCTCCTGTCTCACCCGCTGCTTCCCTTAGCAGTGTATTTTGGTGGATTGGCCTGCTCTGCTCCCAGCTCTGTCTCTGGTGAATCTTCTTACTACCCCCACCCCCCACCTCTGTACTACACCCTAGTTCTTCTACACAAAAATGAAAATCTTTAAAAAAAAAAACTGGGCCTCCCCTGGTGGTGCAGGCGGTTGAGCACTGAGCTGTGAAGCTGTCCAGAGCCTGCAGCGCTGGTTCGATCCCGGCCAGCCAGCGAGGGTCCCACATGGCATGGCAGACCTCTCCTGTCTTGCCCACTGCTCCCCTCAGCAGTGTATTTCGTCAGTCTGCCTGTTCTGTTCCCCGCTCTATCTCTGGTGAATCCTCTCACCCTCCTGCGCATCTGGCCTATATCCCAGTTCTTGTATAAAATAAATAAATAAATCTTTAAAAAAAAAAAACCAGCAAAATATGATTGTTGACAGTACACTCCTCATGGAGTAGGTTTAAGGATAAGTGGGTTAATATGTTGATAGCTCTCAGCATAGTGCCTGGCATGTGAGTATTTGTTATTATTACTGATGTGGCACTTTATAGTTTACAAGCATTCTTACACTGGCCCTCATAACACTTTAAGAGTAAAGAGCAGCACTTACTTTTTGCAGGTAAAAATAAAGGCTAAGAGGAAGTAAAGACCTCTGCCCACAATGACATTGCTAACAAAGGCCAGAAACAGAACTTAAATACTCTAAGCACCCCCAGTGCCTTCTCCCACACACTGCCATCACCCAACGTCTAAGAGGTCTAGAGGACATGGAACCATCAAAAAGGGCCCCCAGACCCACCTTCATGGGACACGTTTTCTTATCAGGACTTCGCTGGGCTGCCACCTCAAAGCAGTATGCCACCCGCTTCTCAGGGGGCCAGTGGGTAGGTGCCAACTTCTCCATGAAGTCCTCCAGGCTGATGACCCGATGGTAGGCCTGGAGAGGTTCCAATTTGAAGTACGTCTCGTAGGATACATGGAGCTATAGGAAAAGGGGGGAGGGGCACAGACATTTATTAAACCATTATTATAATCTAAAACTCAGCCAGCTTGCACTACATGCCACAGAGAAACTTTTGGTAAAACATACCAATTAGGCCAGGAAAAGACATCTACACTAAAGAACAAAGAGTAATAGCCCATGCATTCAAAAATGCCTGCTGATCTACAAGAAAAAAAGGCAAATGACATGAGAGAAAATATGGGGCAAAGGACAAGAGCAAACAACTCACAGCAAAGTAAACCCAAATAACAATACACTCAAAAGCTGTGCAAGTTCACTACTCATTAAGAAACGCAAATTACAACTATAATAAGATTCATTTCTCATCCATGAGACGCGCAAAAATGTTAATGATTAACTATCACTGTTGGAAGGGGTGGGGGAAATCGGTGCTTTCATACACGGCTGGTGGTAGAAGTGTACATTTTGGAACACTTTGAAATGCAATCTTGCAGCATCTAACAGAATTTAGAACATATCTTCCGTCTATAGGTATTTGCCCTAGAGAAGTTTTTGCACCTTGCACCAAGAAAAGGGTACAAGGATGCCACAAAGGAAGTATGGGAAAGAACTTGGAAGGAATCACAGTAAAGACCCATGATACTGGTTATGGGGGAAGGGGAAAGAGTGAACTGAAGGTGGGGAAGGACTAGGATTAGACTCAGGAGCCAAGGGAGATTTTATCTTTTACCAACTTTATCTGTAACCGTTTTCTTCCTTTCATTAATGAACAGATAAAGCAAAGGAGAGAAATGAGTAATGAGTATCACTTCTATGGGTGACCACATGAATGGTAACTGTATTTATCTCTTTATTTTTATAGATAAAAAAAAATTCTTAGGCGATCAAAGAATAAAATTTGAACTCGATTCTATAGGTCAGGGTTTTCCCCAATATATTTTACTAGTTCAGGTGCATAAAGGTGTTGCAATAAAAAGTTCCCTAGGTAAGCAGGCTTGGAAAACGCTGCGTTAAATCTGCTTTGTTTACTAAAGAATTTTTCAGGGCCTTTAATATACTAACGTGCATTCTGGATCTCTAATTTCGGGAAGATAGGGAATTGAGAACATAATTTCCCAAAATGATTTAATCACTGATTTTTCTTACATGAACTACTGGTGTTCTAATGAACAAACTTTGGGAACTTTAACTACCAGCAAAGAGGTATTGCTGAAAGGTTTTGAACAGAAATAGTATGAGATTTGCCTTTCTGAAAGATTACTCTGGTGGTAGAGGAGAGTGTACTGATGCTAGTAAGATTAGAGATGGGGGAAGAATTAGGAAGCTACTGCAATAGCCCTGTTATTTGTTCAAGCATTCATTCAATGTGCATTTTGAGTAGGTCCAAGGGAGAGATGGACAGGCATGGACTGATTAGAAGATATAAAGGAAGGCAACTGAGAGGAAAAATGGAGCCTTTTAGGATTACTTCTTGACATCTGTCTTGATAGCCAGGTGTCTGGCTGGCAATACAGGAGGTGAGACAGGTTTGAGGGAAAAAATGCCAAGTTAAGTCCTGGCTTTGTGAATTTTGAGCTATCTATTGGACATCCAAACAGACTCAAGGATCTAGGAGTTAGAAACACAGGCCTACGTATGGTCAGAGGAGAGTCTGGGGCAGAGATAAATTGAGAAGGGATGTGGAAAATAGTGAAACCACAAGAATCAATAGAAATTCTTAACAAAGTAAATAACAGTAACGATAGCAGCTAATATTTTTTGAGTGCTGACTTAGCACCAGGTGCTACACTCATTGTGTTTCCTTGATTTGTTCATCTAATTCTAAGAGGTAAGAATATAGTCATCTCCAGTTTACTCATGAAGAAACCCAGGTAGACAGAATAACTCATCTGAGGTCACACAGCTAATATGCAAACAGAAAGAGAAGCTAGATCAACATTTAAAAACAGTGAGTGGTGAGAGAGAAGCCCCCATACAGCATAAAGAGGAAAATGCTGAGAGGTCAGGACTGAAGCCCTGAACAGGCTATGTCTTGAAAGCTAAGGGAATGGGAAGACCAGGAAGGAGAGAGGCTCAGGAGGCCAGGTGCCACTGTGAGGTCAGTTGAGATAAACACCGAGAAATGACTCCGGTATTTGGTAATTCTGAGGTCCCTGGTGATATCTTTGAGATTAGTGCCAGTAGGGGAGCCCAATAAAGACAAGTAGTAACCTGCAGAAAGCATGAAGTGGAAACTCCGAAATACTCCTGGCTGAGAAGGCAAAGGAAGAGAGAGCAAGCAAGTCAGAGGGAGAGGAATGGGCAATGTCTAAGTTACTGTAGTGAGCACAAAAAATCAGATCACCAATGGCTCTCAGCTACCGAGGACTTCCTGTGTCCTTAGCACTTCTGCATTGATGAGCTCAACTGATTCTGAGAGAGAAGTATATAGCACTCAAGGACTGCCATGGTCACCCACTCATTGTGGGAAGTAGCATCAACTACTACCAGCCTAGTATAAAGATGAGGAAACCAAGGCACAAAGAGGTCAAGTACTCTGCCTTGTCTATAGAGCAAGTAAGTAGCCAAAGCAGGATATGATGTCGGGTCCTCTGGCTTCACCTCCAATAGTTAACCACCCCTCTAAATATAGGCATGGAAAGGAAAAATAAAACCTATGCAAAGGCTACAAAAATGTATGTAAAAGAGTGTTTTTACATACTAAATATAATTTTTGGAGTTCATTAAAAACTTTTTAAGGGGACTCCCCGGTGGCAAAGTGGTTGAGCGCCGTGCTGTGAAGCTGTCCACAGCCTCTGCAGCACTGATTTGATTCCCCACCAGCCAGGGAGAACCCCACATGGCGCAGCAGACCTCTCCTGCCTTGCTCACTGCTCCCTCAGCAGTGTCTTTGGTCTATCTGCCTGTTCTGTTTCCCTGCTCTGGCTCTGGTGAATTTTCTCACCCTCCCGTGCTTCTGACCTGTAATCCGGTTCTTGTACAAAATAAATAAATAAATCTTTAAAAAAAACCACAAAACTTTTTAAGCCAGCTCCTCCCCAGTGGCCTAGGGTTAAGTCTCAGCATAACCATCCCAATGGCCCTCCGTAGCAAAGCAGCCTGAGTTCCATCCCATGCCAGGGAGCTAACCAACATGGTGCGGCAGAACTCTTCTGTCTCGCCTGCTACTCCCCTCAGCAGTGTATTTCAGTAGATCTGCCTGTTCTGCTCCCAACTCTGTCTCTGGTAATCTACTCATCCCCTCCCAACTCTGGCTACACCCCAGTTCTATGCAAAAATAAAATAAAAATCTTACAATAAAGGAATAATTCCTCAAAAAAACCTTTTTAAGCCAATTCATTAAATATTAATTCAATTCCTAGTGCTAGGCCCCCAGGGATACAGCGTGAACAAAGACAAACATAGGACCAACAGAAGAAACAAAGAATAAGCAAGGAATTGGAGGATGCTCCAATTGGCATGACATTGGAGGATGATGTCAATTGGCATGACATCATCATGCCAAGAGAGTCCCCTGATGGGGTGAGAGGTGGCACTGGAGCCAAGCTTCCTGGGTTTGTGGCCTTGGACACCATACAAACTAGGCTGTGACTCAGTTTCTCCTTCAAAACTGATGATTCCCCATCACCTTCTGACAATGGGATGAACAGAGACCAACCAGTGTTGGAAATGGAATTTTTAGGTTCAGGCCTCAGGCTCTGGAGTCAGCAGACAAGGACTTGAATTCCAGCTCTACTACTCACAAGGTGTGTAATCTTAAGCAAGTCACCTAACCTCTCCAAACCCTAGTTTCCTCATGGGGATATGAATAGGAAAAAAGAGTTAATCCTTATACAGTGTTTAGAACAGTGCCCGACAGAGAATAGGTGCTAGATGCTAGTCATCATTATTCCAGGGAAGAAAGTTCTTGGTGGGAACCCACTCCCACAGAGAATGAGTAGCAGAGAAGGACTCGGTGTCAAGCAGAAGCAAGCAGAATTGAGAAAGAATAAGAAAGGACCAAAGTCAGCAAGGGATACTCACATTGGTGAAGGGAGGTTTGTGATGCTGATACTCAATCCAAGGAGGCACAGCCAAAGTGCGGTTCAACAGCTTTGCAAATGCCAGGGAGCCCAAGAAGTGATCAGCCTGGTTCCCGAAGCGCCCTGGATGGTATATAGCAGGTGAGATGAGGCTTGGGATGGATATGCAGAGCTCAGAAAGGAGGCAGTCAGAATTGGGGAGGGCCAGGACACCAAGAAGAACCAGAGTTGACAGCATGGGATTAAGTCTGGACTCCTGGGTCTGACAGTCAAGGCCCTCCAGCCTTTTCTTCTGTCTCAGCCACTCCGTGTTCCTTGCTGTTCCCTAAATATGTTCTACACTTAATATCCCGCCATGCCTTTGCTCTTGCTGTCCTCTTAGCCAGGATAGTCTTCTTCTCATTCATTGGGATCCTTTCACTAACTTCCTGCCATACTCAGTTGCCTTCTTTGCCACCCACTTTGGGTTTGAGTTACTTATGATTTGTAGTTTTCTTTGAATGTCCTTTCCCACTTCCTGGCCTTTGTGCTGACTGTTTCCTCAGTCTGTAAATGCCACAGGGGAAAGGCGCAAGGGCCTTGTCTAGTTCTTTTTGTTATCCCCAGCATTGCTTTCATTCATTCATTATACAAACATTATTGAGAGGCCATAATGTACCAAGCTGTCTGCTAGGTGCTGAGATTACAGGAGAGAAGAACAAGCTGGATCTGCCCTCCTGATCCAGCTAGGGAAACAATAAACATGTAAGAAATACATAGTGGTAAATTTTGATAATTTTAAAAAAGAAATGAGGAAATTTTGGTGACAGAGAACAATAAGGAGGAGATCATCTGGGTTGCGGTCAGTGAAGTCCTTTCTGATGACATTTAAGCTGTGACCTGAGGATGAGAGAAGATTGCTCTGGGCAGAGGGGACTAGCACAGCTGCAGGATCTGAGTATGTGTGAGGAACAGCAAAAGGCTAAGTGTGGCTGCAGCTGGAAGTTCTCCAGAGAAGGGAACAGTGGAGATGGTGGGTGGCAGACCAACTTATCATGGCCAGGAGTTTGGAGGATTTTAAGAATGAATGCCTTCTACAATGACGATGGCCCTCCACATTTAGATTGCAACCTCAACTGGCCCTGGGACTCTCCCTATTTTATTTTCCCATAGCGTTTAACCTCTTCTAAGATACTACGCAATTACTTATTTTTTTGTGTTTATCTTTTATTGTTTGTCTTGTCCCACTAAATTGAAAGCCTACAAAGGGGATGGAATTTTGTGTTTTGTCACCGCCCTATGCTCTGACCAGAGAACAGAGCTGGGCACAGAATGTCCTATAAATATTTGTTGAATGAATGAAAAAATCGCCCAGGGCCAGTGTTGTGCCAGTGACATCAAGTCCTGCCCCACTAACTCCATTGCTGGACTCAGACCTTGCGCAAGACGAGTATCATCTCGAATACGCGGCCACGGTTCTCGTTTGCCAAAGGCAAGGTTGGAATACAGAGGCCCGTCAGGGTCCTGCAAACGGGCTGAGAGGCACGGAGCACGTCCTGCCCCGCGCCGGGGTTCTCTCCCGGCCATGTCAAGGTGTTTCTGGGCGCCTCAGAGAAGTGGCGTCGCCTCTCTGGGCCTCAGTTTCCCCACTTGAGCAGAGGTCTCGGGAGGCCTTACCCATGCATGGGCAGTAGAGCAGGTAACCGGCCGGGTCCCAGGAGCCCGCGGGCAGCCCCGGGAGCGGCAGAAGCAGCAGCAGGAAACACACACGCATTGGTAGGGGCGGCAATGCCCGCGCGGCGGCGCCCATATCGACTCCGGTGTCTGAGCGCGCCACGGCGAGGAGGCGGGGACGGAAGGAGGAGCACGAGAGTCCGCCCCGCTCCCAGCGGCCTCCGCGCGCCGCCCGCGCACTGCCCTGGTCGCTCTAGCCAGCGGGCGGGCGGGACCATAGAGAGCCCGCGGCACCGCCCCCTCCACGGCCCGAGCGCCCGCTCGCGCGGCTCCCACAATGCACCGCACAATGGCCCGACCGCCGCCACTACCGGGGCCTGAGCGGGCCTGGCGGAGCCCGAGCGCGGCCCGGCCCGCAGCGCGGGGCCCCGAGCGCGGTGAGTGCCGGCGAGGGCCCCGGGGGACGGCGGGGAGCGGGGCGGGAGGCCGTCTCGCTGTGCCCGCGCGCCCAGCACCCGGAGCGGCGGCGCCCCACAACTCCGGCCCCTCATCGCGGTCGCCCACACCCCCGACCGGGGGCCCCCTCTGCGCCAGCCCGGCCCGTATAGGCCCCAGGGTGACAAAAGCTCTTTTCCGACTCGATACTTGAGTCCTAGGGACTCGGAGGAACCCCGCTAGACCCCTCCCTTCCGAAACCTGGAGCCTCGGCCTTGAAGGTCCCCTCTCCCGACCCCCCCAAGCTCCCTGGAGACCCAGATAACGCGTTGCTGACCGTGCCACGGACCCGGGTCTGGGGGACGCAGATAAGCTGCACCTGCTACCCCCCCCCCGTAGACACGCCTACCCCGACCCACCTAACCCCCTTTCCTGCTCCAAATAGTCCACTCTTTACCCTGTTTCATTTTCCAGAACCACATAACCCCTTTTGAGGCTTCTTTCAACTAGTCGGTTCTGTAGAATCCCTGTAAACCCTGCCTGTAGTTCCCTCCCCAGTGACCATAATCCCAAGCCTTAATCATCTATCTTCTATCCACGTATCCATTTGGAGGGAGACTTTTGAAAGTCAGGGAATTAACTGATGACAATCTTCAACCCCTGGAATCCTCCAGCCCTTTTAATCCCCCCACCCCTTTTCTTTTGGGAGGGAGAGCCTCAGAAACTCAGATAACTTGCTCATGATTTCTTACTAAATTTGTGCATCCTTCCGTCCCTCAGTCTTTCTCCAGACTTGCCCCTGAACTTTTGTCTTTTCTCCCCCAACTGTCCACTCCATCTCTCAGTCCCTGAATTTAACCATTCTCACCACACAGTGGTTCATCTGGAAGCTGCTAGAGGAGTCAGGCTATTTCTTGCAAGTTCGGTCCCAAGCTTGGTGGGGGAAAGGGACCTGAAATGTGGACTATAAGGGGACAACTGGTGTGGGGGAGTTGTTGGTACTTTCACCTGTAAGTGTGGCCTGTCTCCTGGATTGTGTGTTTTTCCACCTGTCAGCTTGGACTGATAGAGTCTGGCCTTGGGTTTCTCACCCTCCCCCACTAGGTGAGGCCACCAGATTGGGGCAGGGATGGAAGGGGGTCAGGTCTAATCAGGTTTCCTCTTCTTGAAAACTGGGCTGTAGTGAGATGCAGCCATTTGCTCAAGGCCTTCTCAGGAGTGGGAGGCAGAGGAAATACTGAATCAAAGGGACTCCAAAGAGGGCCCATCTACACTAACAGAAGAACTAGCAGCCTGAGAGTAAATCCAACCCCTGTTAATCCTGTTTGATGTCTCCTGGAATGATGCAAGTCATTGAGACTCTCCAGCCTCCCTGTAATTTAATTCTCCCACCACTGAGGAGTGTGTGAGGGAGTGAGTGGGGTGGGGGTAGCTATTCCCATTTCCCTCTTGTCACAGTTTTCCAGCCAGTGTGTCTTTTGGATTTGTTTCTGGAGCCCAGGTCAGGCCTAAGTCTATTTATAATTTCCCAGTTGCTATTTTGGATTCCGCTTAAGGGAAGATTCTGTCCATCCCATGGAACTTTCCTGGGTGTGTTTCCTCCTCCTCGGCAGGTGTTGAATTGAGTTCTTCAGATCCCCAAGTAGCTCTTGGGCAGGAGGGATAAAAGCTATTTTAGGGTAGTCACTGAAGTGGAGCTGTTAATCCTCTGTGGGTCTCTCTAGTTAAGAACACTCAGAGATTAACCCTTTCCTTGCTGCAGGGGGGCGATTTCTCAACAGGTTTTTAGGAGGGTTGGGAGAATTCAAGTGTGGCAGCAGAAGGTGGGAATGTGCAACTCAATACAAAGCAAAGATAATAGCTGCCTTTTGTTAGGTACTTACAGCAAGCCAAGCCCTATATTGAGCCCTTTGCAAACCTGACTAAAATAATCCTTACAACAAGCCTGTGAGGTAAGTATTTTTAGCTTTACAGATTAGGAAACAGACTAATAATGGAGAAAGAACGAAGTTTCTATAGAGATGATGTAACACCATAAAAACTATAGTTTCGTCAGAAGGCAACAGACATCATGGCATACAACAAAGGACAAACAGTTGAGGAAGCAGTTTGTCTCCATTTCAGTTTCCAAAATGGACCATAGAGTTTTTAGCGAGCATTTGTATTGAGGTATGGAGCCTTAATAGAAGCGGTTCCTCAAGAGAACTCTGCCCCAGGAGATAGTGCTGGGGGAAGAGAAAGAAAGAGGGACCTGGTTAGAGGGGAGATGTGAGGGTTAATTGTGAGGAAAAGGGGAAGGATTCTGGCGAGATGTTGGGAAGGGAAGGAAACTCACTCTGAGTTCTGAGAGCTAACATTAAAGGAGGTTGGGGGGCAAAGCCTGAAGGCCCTGGAGCTGGGGGCAGGGGGAGAAGGCAGATACAGTTTAGAACGAAAGACAGCATTGCATGTATTCAGCATAAGTTTTATGTCAGGAGTATTTCACTTAATCCTCCATGAGAACCTTGTAGGTTAGGGAGAATAAGACTGTTTTAGAAATTGAAGAAACTGAGGTTCAGAGAAACAAAGTAACCTGCCCATGGTTTCACAGCCACTAAGTGGCAGCTCTTGTGATAGCAAGTCCAAGGTTCTTTCTCTGCTACCTCCCTCTGCAGATCAGGCCCTAGAAGGCATCTTAGAATGAAAATGTACTGAGTTATACCAGTAACTGGGAGGGATTGATTGTGTTTGCTTTATGGGAACAGGTTCTGTCAGCTTCTCTATAGTCGTTAAGGTTAGAGTGTGAGACCAGAAGAGCAGCTTTGAAAGAGAAGCAAAATTCTTTCATAGTTTCACCAAGGAAGAAGTATGAAGGAATTGGCCTTCCGATTATGCGAGACAAGCCCAGGAATCCTGCTGGATCAGAGGAGTTTGCAGACAAAGGACAGAGAGAGAGAGAGAGACTAGATTCCCAAAAGGATTCCTAAGTAACAGATTTGGTTTTCCAGCAGCCTGTCGGTGACTGATGACTGTAGGTAAGGACTTCTGCTGTGCCTTTTTAAAAGTGTAGGGGGAAAGGATCAGGGTGTTGGCTGTTTTCTTTTTAAAGCCGTAACCCCATTAAATGCAGAACAAGGCAAGCACATGGTTGCTGCCTTCCTCTTGTTCTAGCAGGACAGCCTCTGGGAGCTGCACCTTCAGTCTCTTTCCTAGAAGCCCATTACTCACTGTTTCAGTGGCAGCACACTAGCTGCTGGGTCGTGTTTGTGCTTGTTCAGGAGAATAGATGAGGTGGACGTGTGGGAGGTAGGGGACGTAATGTTCTCTTTCTGAGTTTATGCGGAATTTCCAGGGCTAGACTCCCCTTTCACATCAGCCAGACTGATGCAACTTGCTTACCTCTGACTGCCATTCCCAGTTTACCAGAAGCTGAGGCAGATGATTGTAGATACCAGAGGGAACAGGTTTTGACTTTGACGGTAGGGGTAATTCCCTCCAAACGAGACATTCACACTTGTAGCTGGCTCTCTACCCAGTTCCAAGGTACAGTGTAATCGCTGGTATTATAAACAGGTAATTCCACCCTTGCAAGGAAGGAGGGGACTTAAACAATGAAAGCCAACCGGCAGAGGCTTTGAGGTTTATAGTGAAACAGGCAAATATGCTATGAGGACTCGAAGGCTCTAGTGAGACTATAGTTTTTATGCTACCTTCCCCTCCCCAGCATGTGACTCATGCAAAGTATAGCCACCTTTGTACAGATCTTTCTAGGCAAATCTCCACTCGTGATGGGGAAATGTTTATCATATTACATTGCACTGTTTCTTCAACAAGAGGAATGGTTCCTGAACAGGATGTAGCACATGTTAATGATGCGCAAAGCTCTTTGGGGCATGAACCTGCTGATCCCATCGTCTGGTTCAGGACCATTCTGTTGGATGAATACACTGTAAGCAGCAGGTGCTAATGAGCTGAGCAAGCATTCTGTAGCCTACAGCTAATGTGTGTGGTTGGAGCCCTCCCAGGTTCTCATGGGCAGTCAGACACCACCTTGTACTCTCTTCAGATGGAAAAGCCTCATGACCGAATTTTGGCATGACCTCTTCAAAGGGAATCCCCTTGCTATAGCAAGTTATGCTGTGGTTGGTAATGTATGATGAGCTTGTGAGTTTGAATGTGGAGCTCTGTCTTCCGTTTGACAGTTAGTACAGTACCTAAGTCCCATCTTTTCTAGCTCTGAGTTGATGTCAGGAAAGTTGTGCCATCTTTGTTCCAGTGCATCCCCCTTCAGCCCCATAAAAGAGAATTCCAGACATCAAGATTTTAGGCTCTCCCGCCCCCCACCTACTTTAGAAGCGCTATAAACCCAGTTTAAACCAGAATGTCCTGAACATTAGTTAGCCTGTGAGACTCATTTTGCATTCAGTGATTAAATTACCTTATCCAAAAGAAAGTTGAGATTCCTTTTCTAGATGGTAGGTGTGGAGATAAAAGAGATGATTTGAGCCCTCAAAGAATCGGAGTCTGGCGGAGGAGACTAAGTTCTAATGCAAGTATGTTATTAATCATAATGGAGAAATGCGCATGTACTGTATTTCTGTGCTGTATATGTAGAAATAAAGGTCTAGGAGGAAACACTCAGCACCTTGGAATATTGAGCAGATTTTGCTAAAGAGGCACTGTCTGGACTTCAATACCCAGAGTCTCAGAGAGGCTGTGGTCAGGACAGGACTGTTTTAGGGGCAATATTGAGTCCACTACTGCCTCCT